CTTTGGGGAGGTAGAAATGGGGAGGCTTTTGGGGAGGTGTGAAACAGCATTTAGGTACCTGCCTTGGAAGTGCAAGGTCATGCATAGTGGCAACCCAGATATCTCTCACCTTAGCAAAACACAGCCCAGCCAGGCGTTTGGCTATTTCTTCACGAGCTTATTGCTAGGTGTTGTAGTTTTATGGGTAAGAGTGTCACCTAGTGGTCAGCAGGTGGCATGAGCAGTGAAGAAAGCAAGTCAAAGAAAAAAACTGAGTTCAAACAGCTCTTTGAAATTAGACATATACACACCCCGACCCCCACACACATGCATGTTATCACAGTAATTGCAATGGTGAATATCAAATAAGCAGTCTATATAAGATGACGTGAATAAAGTAAAAATGGAATCATTATTCAAACTTACCTATAACAAAACAGGTTTTCTTTGATCCAAGGAATCCAAGGATGCATCCCATTTCATTGTTACGGAATCACAACTGAATTCGAGCATTAAGGCTCCAGGGAATTATTAAAACTTCCTGTGTATTCTGTGACAATCCCATAAATATCAAAGTGACCCACAACCTCACATCTATTACAACACAATTCACACTCGCAGAAGACATGAAAACCCAGACGCTTGTCAAAGAGAAATGAATAAAGAAACCGCAGTACATCTACTGCATGAAATACTACTCTCACATTAAAAATGAAATTTCACTATTTGCAACTGGAGACCATTATACTCAGTGAAATAAGCCAGTCCCAAAAGGATAAATACCATATGATCTCCCTGATATAAGGCAACATTCATGCAAAATGCAGCTTAAATAGATATATGGGTAAACATGCATTATACACATATTTTCCTTTTTTAAAAAGATTTATTTTTATTGCAAAACAGATATACAGAGAGGAGAGACAAAGAAGATCTTCCATCTGTTGATTCATTCCGCAAGTGAGCGCAATGGCCAGTGCTGTGCTAACCCAAAGCCGGGGGCCAGAAACCTCCTCCAGGTCTCCCACATGGCTGCAGGGTCCCAAGGCTTTGGGCCGTCCTCGACTGCTTTCCTAGGCCACAAGCAGGGAGCTGGATGGGAAGTGCAGCTGCCGGGATTAGAACCGGTGCCCAGTATATGAGCTCTACAAATGTACTTGTATGCAAATAAGCTCCCAATCAGTACCAAGTGTGTTGCTATATTTTCACGGCAACACTTATTAGGAACCTGTATTTGTTTTACCATTCGTTGTGTGTGTGTCATCTGAAACATGCCTTGGAAAAATTAGAAATATGGAGAGTGTCGGAGTTGAAACCTTGCCAGCAGGCCCGAGGTCACTGAAGCTGACGTGATACTTTTTCCCATGCAAGAACCAGAAAAGACAAACTGGTGAGGAATGTCTGCTTTATTATTCACAAGTTCCCAGTTGTAAAGGTGCAGCACTTCCCCACCTCCCTACCCAATAATGCCACTGATTGGCTAAAGGGCATGTCTATTCCTCTTGACCTTCCAGTCATGACACAAGTCACTTTCCACATTTGTTCTCCAACTCAGACTGTTATACACAGCACAAAATCAACCCCGTTGTGGGGCCTGAAGGGCTCTGATCCCAACACCCTGCTTTCTCCTTCTTCCCTCCCCACAGCAGTCCTCCAAACTGACAGACCTGACATCACAGCTCCAAGCATCAGCCTTCAGTCAGGAACAGGAAGCGGGAAGCCCCTGCAGGCCCGAAGAGCCAGGTCACCTTTGGGTTGGTCCCAAGGAAAAACCAGAGTTCAGCAGGGGGGGGCCAAGAGCCCCTGGCAAACAGGGACTGCACAAGGCTGCATCTTGTCAGCCGCTGCCCTCGGGGTCCACACGCTGCTGGCCCAGCAGAGGGACACCAAGGCCTGCCAAGCCACAGGCCACACAGCTCAGCCCTCAGGGCCTGAGGGCTCAGAAGAGGTCCAGGCAGCTGCTTTGCACACACTCCCAGGGAGCCCCTGAGCTGCAGCCCAGACTGGTCTCTTCTCCCTCCCGCTGCCTCCACAAAGAGCTGTGCTTCAGCCAGGAGCCGTCTCTCAGCTCCCTCCGGGCGGCTGCTCCCCCACTGCTCAGCAAACAAAATCCCTTTGAACAGGACACAGCTTGGAGCCCCTCCTGTGTGAAGCCTTCCCAGAGTGAGCAGTCTGCTGTTCACACTGACCCAAGCGCTCCTGCCTCACTTGAGGCCTCACAGCCCAAAGGCCTGCCCGCAGGTGCTGTGGTACTAGATTTTGAGATCCCAGAGAATCATCCAGTGTGATGTGGCTGCGAACGCATAAAGGTGGTTTACTCAAGCCAACCTGGGTCCCCCAGCCTTCCCCTGCAGCCCAGCAGGGCTGAGGCGGGGAGGGGCAGCTGCAGCTGCGGCTGCACAGGAACAACAGGGCAGAAAAAGAGTGTGTCCACCAGCACAGGGTTCTTGTACACTTCAGGCCAATTCCACGTAATTATACAGTCATGATGGGTCAGTTTCTCTGTTAACTTTTTTAAAAGGAACAAGTTGACAAGCTTGTGTTGGTGGGTTTGAAGCAAGCAACTTTCAGAAAGTACAAACCGAGGGGCTATAGGGCAGCGGGCGACTCACCTAACAAGCACACGGGGTCTCCTTCCTGAGGAGTGCTCTGCCTGCCAGGCATCCTGCCGCGTGTCACGTGGACTGTCAGGCCTGGACTTCACACAGCCCCCAGACAAACCAGTCAGGCACTTGGGGTCTCCAGTGCCCCAGCCCCCAGCAAGCCCGGAGGACCCGAGCAGGGACCGTGTCCCTTCCAGGGGCTCTTGCAGGAGCAGAGTCTGCCGACTTCAGCCCGCTTTGCGCCGTGAAGCCTCCGGGCTCAGATCTGCCCTCTGCCACCCCACCGCGGAGAGCAAGAGATACTCTGTTAGCAAACTCCCTGCAGGGACATCCCCTTCACAGCCTGGGCAGCCGTGCAACACCCCAAAACACGACCTGGGAACCAGCTGCCGGGCTGGACACGGTTCTGCCCCTGGGAGGGAAGCAGCTGGGTCCTTCCCTGTGCTGTTGGGCACACATGCACGCCCCAGGAGCTTGCTTCCGGGTGTCAACTCACCTAGTCAGCCAGTGTGACTTGCATGGCCTACTGCAGCCCAAGCACCAAAAGGACCAGCAGATCTGTGCCCCACCGGGTCCCTCTAGTGGGCAATCCTTGCTCTACACCTCCTTGTCGGGTAAGTGCAGAGTAGCAGGTCAGGCCCAACCTGCTTCGCAAGCCTGCAAGCTTTGCCAGCCAAGCATCCTTCCTGTGCCAACAAGCCTTGGCCTCTGCTGACGGCCTCTCCGGACTGCTTCCTGGAGGACCCGATCGGAGGCAGCTGGCTGCAGAGAGGGCCAGGGCAGCAGGCGGCAAGAAGGGCCCTGGCGTAGGAACATCACACTGCCTCTGCTCCTCCAGCAATGAGCATCCCTCCCAGGGGAGAGGCCTGTGCGCAGCCCCACGCACAGGTGGCAGCGACCTGTGCTGCGGGAACGTGGCCAGTCTGTGGGGAGGAAGTCCCGGGAGATGGAGGAAAGGGCGTCCCCCAGAAGCTAGTGGTTCTGCAGTGTTTCTGTGGGGTGAGACTATGGGGGTGCTCCAGGAGCAGGCTGCAGCCTGACTCACCAAGCGCGGGGAGTCACGCCCACTGACGAACAGAATGTAATGTGCTAGCAGGCCTCCCAGGAGCGGGGCACACCTGATGAGGAGGCGCCAACTCCCGTAGGAACGGCCGAGCAGCCTGGTGACAGCAGTGGGCCCGTGAGGGATCCCGGGGGCCTCCACGGCGAGGCAAGACGAGGACGGAGCGAAGCAGGCCTGTGGGGCTCAGGGAGCCAAGGGGAGGCAAGATGAGCCCTGGAGCACTCTGCTCCCGACAGCACCCAGTGCATCATCGCGAATGCAGTGGAGAGGGGGCGCTGGCACCATTTGGAAGCTCACTGCGGGCTGGGAGGCCACTCCTCTGCCCTCCCAGAGGGCAGGGCCGACCACAGGACAGGGCCCACCACGCCAGGGCCCACCACATCACAGCCTGTCACGGGGCTAGGCCCGCTGAGAGCAAGGCCTGCTGGCCTGTGGCCTCCACGTCCCCCGTGGCAGCGGCAGCAGAGGTCAGGGGCAGCACCGAGCCCAGCCGAGCACAGAGCCCAGCCCAGCCGGACTGAGCAGCCAGAAGCAGGGGGCTAGGAAGATTACTCGGCTCCCAGCGGGGAGTGATGGGCCTCCCCGGGTGCACGGCCACACTGCTACAGTCCCCACGGACAGGCAGAGAGCAAGGGTGAGAGAGCGAGTCTCCAGCCCTGCTCCAGGGTCTGTCACCGTACCAGCCCCTAGAGCTGGAACCCTTGACCAGAGCGCTGGCTGGGGCCCCGGGGGAGGGGGACGCCGTGCCTTGGGCAAGGAGACTGCGGCACCAGGTCGGTGCCTTCTCACAATAGGCCTTCTCACAGAGCGCGGGAGTGGGCCAGCTCGGGTCTCCTAACCACGGGCCGCCAGCCTGTCCTCCAGCCCCTCAGCTAAGCCGGGTCAGCAGCAGCACCGCCGCGATGCTCACGTGGCCAGGGCACCGCCTCAGAGTCCTTCCTCCAGCGGCATGGCCCCGGCTCGTGGGGCACACACTGCACAAGGCCTGAGCTCTCAGGCTTAGGGGGCAAGGAGGAAAACCCCAGCCCAGTCCACAGCTTGCTCAAGGCTCCGCCCCACCCTGCCTTCGCACAGCTCCACCAGCTGCTCTCCCCAGGGGCTGCGAGCCACCCAGCTTGCGCCAGGCTTCCAGCCGGTTCACTCCACAGCCCGGCCTTCAAGTCCTGCTACTACAGCCGCTCCTCCTGTAGGACCAGCTTCCCTTGCGCCGCTCGTCCCACTCGGGTGCCCTCAGCGTCTCCCCCGCTTCCTGCAGCCGGGCCCTTGCGCCTGCTCACACAGCTCCTGCGCACCCAGCTTCGCCCCAAAATCTTGGCCACAGCTCCGCCTAAGCACCTCTCCACCTCGCCGCTCCCATGGCCACCCTTGTCAGGCCGTTCCGGCTGCCCTCTGCCCCAGGGCCGCTCCTGCTGCTTTCCAACCTCTGCGCAGTGGCTCGGGCGAAACCACCCCTCCACCTCCGCCCCCTTTCTCTCCATCACACCGGCTCCAGCTCAGCTCCTCCGCCAGCACGAAAGCCACAGCCACGGACCAGCCCCTCCTTCCGCACTTTCTTAGAGCCGCTCCCCTCCTCCAGCCACAGCCTCAGGCTGCACTCCTACCCAGGCGGTTGTTATGGGTCCCATCTTAAGCAGCCCCGCCTCCGAAAGTGCTGCCCCAATGCTCCCAAAGGACACGCCCTACTACTGCTCCCCCTACAGGCAGCCAGGGACTCAAGACCAGCCCTGCCTCAAACCCGCCCCCCGGTCCTCACAGCCACGCCCCTTCGCAGGCCCGCCCCCAGGTCCTCACAGGCACGCCCTTTTCAGGCCCCGCCCAAGTCCTCACGACCACACCTTCCTCAGGCCCGCCCCAATCCTCACAACCACGCCCCCTCTCAGGCCCTGCTCCAAGTCCTCACAGCCACGCCCTTCTCAGGCCCTGCCCCAAGTCCTCAAGGCCACGCCCTTCTCAGGCCCGCCCCCAAGTCCTCACGACCACGCCCTTCTCAGGCCCGCCCCAAGTCCTCAAACCACGCCCCCTCTCAGGCCCTGCTCCAAGTCCTCAAACCACGCCCTTCTCAGGCCCGCCCCAAGTCCTCACAGCCACGCCCCTTCGCAGGCCCGCCCCAAGTCCTCAGGACCACGCCCTTCTCAGGCCCGCCCCAAGTCCTCAAACCACGCCCCCTCTCAGGCCCTGCTCCAAGTCCTCACGACCACACCTTTCTCAGGCCCGCCTCAAGTCCTACGACCACGCCCTTCTCAGGCCCGCCCCAAGTCCACACAGCCACGCCCTTCTCAGGCCCGCCCCAAGTCCTCAAACCACGCCCCCTCTCAGGCCCTGCTCCAAGTCCTACGACCACGCCCTTCTCAGGCCCCGCCCCAAGCCCTCACGACCACGCCCCCTCTCAGGCCGTCCCAAGTCCTCACAGCCACACCCTTCTCAGGCCCGCCCCCAAGTCCTCACAACCACGCCCTTCTCCTGCCTCGCCCAAGTCCTCACAGCCATGCCCTTCTCAGGCCCCGCCCAAGTCCTCACAGCCACGCACTTCTCCTGCACCACCGAAGTCCTCACAGCCACGCCTTTCTCCTGCCCCGCCCAAGTCCTCACAGCCACGCCCTTCTCAGGCCCCGCCCAAGTACTCACGACCACACCTTTCTCAGGCCCCGCCCAAGTCCTTACAGCCACGATCTTCTCAGGCCCGCCCCCAGGTCCTCACATCCACGCCCTTTTCAGGCCCGCCCCAAGTCCTCAGGACCACACCCTTCTCAGGCCCGCCCCCAAGTGCTCACGACCACGCCCTTCTCAGGCCCGCCCCAAGTCCTCAAACCACGCCCCCTCTCAGGTCCTGCCCAAGTCCTCAAGGCCACACCCTTCTCAGGCCCCGCCCCAAGTCCTCAAAGCCACACCCTACTCAGGCCCGCCCCGAAGTCCTCAAAGTCATGCACCTTCCTGGCCCCGCCCCCAATGCTCCCACAGGACACTCCATACTACTGCTCCCCAGCCTCTATGGCAGCCATGGGCTCAAGACCAGCCCCGCCTCAGACCCCGCCCTCACGTCCTCAAAGCCACGCCCCTTCCAGGCCCCGCCCCAAGACCTCAAACCCACGCCCCTCTCAGGCCATCACCAAGTCCTCGCAGCCACACCCTTCCAGCCATGCCCCCAATGCTCCCACAGGACACACCCTACTACTGCTACCCAGCATCTATGGCAGCCCCGGGCCCAAGACCAACCCCACCCCAGGCCCCGCCCCCAAGAACTCAAACCCACGCCCCTCTCAGGCCCTCACCAAGTCCTCACAGCCACGCCCCCTCACGGGCCCTGCCTCTGACACCCCCCTGTACGTCCTTTCAGCCCGGCCCCTTTCCCCAGCCTAGCCTAAGACTCCACCCAACACGTCGTCTCGGTCCCGCCCCCTTTCCCAGCCTCGCCTCACACCCCGCCCCGCACGTCGCTTCAGCCACGCCCCTCGGCTCCACCTCAGGCCCCGCCTGCACGCGCTGTCAGCCCTCAGCAGCCTCAGGCCACGCCCCTCACGTCCTCTCAACAAGCTCTTGCACAGCACGCCAAAGACCCCGCCCCGTACGCCACCGCAGGCCACGCCCACAGGCCCTCTCAGACCCCGCCCCGCGCGTTTTCCCAGCCCCGCCCCTCACAAGACCCGCTTCAGACCCCGCCCTGCACGCGCTCTCAGCCCCGCCCACCACAGCCCCTCTCCTACTGCCCCCACGTCCCCGCGCCGGAAGCTGCTCACAGCCAACCAGGCAGCTCCGCCTCCTCGCCCACAGCCTCTCCCACGGCCGCGCCTGCAGAATGCTGACTAGTCCCCTCTCCCCGCCCCTTCCGCTTCCGGCCCCGTTTCCTTCCCCTCCCCTCGGCGGGCCGCTGGGTTCCAACCCTGGCTCTCTCCCCAGCTGCTCCCCGGAACCCGCCTCGCCATCCCAGAGTCAGTGGAGACGCCTGGTGCCCCATGTGAGCGTGCACCAGTGCGTGACCGTGTCCGTGCGTCGCTGCGTGACTGCATGGTTGTGACTGACCCGTCGAATACGTGCGTAGTGCGTGCATAGGTACGTGGGTGTGGGCACTGCGTGCCTTGTACGTAGGTGCGTGGGTGTGGGCACTGCGTGCCTGGTGTGTGCATAGGTGGAGTGGGCACCATGTGCCTGGGACGTAGGTGGGTGTGGGCATTGCATGCCTGGTACGTAGGTGGGTGTGGGCACTGCGTGCCTGGTACGTAAGGGATGTGGGCACTGCGTGCCTGGTCCGTAGGTGGGTGTGGGCACTGTGTGCCTGGTACGTAAGGGATGTGGGCACTGCGTGCCTGGTACATAGGTGCATCAGTGTGGGCACTGCATGCCTACTGTGTGCATAGGTGGGTGTGGGCACTGCGTGCCTTTTACGTAGGTGCGTGTGTGGGCACTGCGTGCCTAGTGTGTGCATAGGTCGGTGTGGACACCACGTGCCTGGTACGTAAGGGATGTGGGCATTACATGCCTAGCGCATAGCTATGTGATGTGGGCACTGCGTGCCTTGTACGTAGCTAGCTGGGTGTGGGCACCGCGTCCCTAGTGTGTTCATAGGTGGATGTGGGCACCATGTGCCTAGTAAGTACGTCAGTGGGTGTGTGCACTACATACCTAGTGCATAGGTACGTGATGTAGGCACTGCGTGTCTGGTACGTAGGTCGGTGTAGGCACTGTGTATCTTCTGCATAAATACGTGGGTGTGGGTACCGTATACCTGGTAGGTAGGTACACCCCCTTCCCTGGCTCTGGCCCGTCCCTCGTTGACCGGAAGCCGATTATCCAGGGCCTGGCTGGCAGCCTTGCTGAGAACTGCCCTCGCATATGTCCGCAGGCGTGCCCACTAGTGCTTCCACTCCAGGGACCGTTATAATGGTCAGGGGGCAGTGAGCCCAGACACAGCCAAAGGCAGCCCGGGCACGTCGTGCCAGCGCTTGAGTGTCTGCCTTCTGCAGAACACCCCTCTGGGCTGGGGCGCTCCCGAAGCCATCTTGCCTGTGCCCTCCTGCCAGCCTCTCCCTCCCTGCCAGCCTCCCCCTCCCTGGCAGCTTCAGAGCGTGTCCCTGGGGTGTGGCAAGCGAGTCAACTGCCGCACACGCCCTGGCCTAAGCTTGGCCCACTTGGTGGCCTGTGTGCTGTGGGACCCGTGGCTGCTGGGCCCTGCCTACACTTACACACAGGGGCCTGGGCTCCCCCACCTCTGCCCTTTAGCGCTGTGGGCGACGGGGGTGGGGATGGGAGCAGCTTCCTCCTCTTAGATCGGGCTTGCTCCCTGCTGCCTGGCGCTGTGCGTGATCCTTGCCTCAGACAGCCTCCCCCAGCCGTGATAGCAGGAGCCGCGTGTGCCCCGCATGCTGGCCGCCCAGCTCTTGTTGGCCTGCGGCCTGTGCTGGGACAAGCCCTTCCCGTGCCATTGGACCCCGGTGCTGTCTTGTGCACGGAGACCTTCTCCCTCATCCATTATGTTGGTGTAGGGCACCCGAGGCAGGCAGAAGGGTGCCCCCTGCTCAGGCCAAAAGCGGGGAGCCCCCTCCTCAGGCCAAAAGTGGGTGCTGCGTGCAGCGCCAGGCAAGAGGAAACGGAGCACCCCGTTGCCTCTAAGGGTGCCTCGGTTCTCTGTGCCCGCACCACACCTGCACAGGTCACGTGGGATTGTGGTGACGTGCCTGGGAAGCTGAGGGGCTGGGCACACCCACGTCCTTGTTGCATCTCTGAGTACAAGTAGAAATGGCTGGACCACGGTTTCTGCACGCAGGCCCCCTCAGAAGCACCTCCGAGCCCAGGGCCGGGGTGACTGTCACCCAGGAGCAGCAGCACCCTGCTCAGGGCTGACAGGTGTGTGAGAGCTCCCTTGGTGAGTGCAGTGTACCCTGGTGAGGCTTTGTGCGAGGCCGTGGGTGGCGCAGGGCAGCGTCTTAGATGCCCTTGCCCTGAGAGCAGCCTCTGCCCCACGCCCTCAGGGAATGTCAGGGCCCACGCCCTTGCTGGTGGCAGAAAACAGAAAGCAGCTTGCGAGTCTCTGTGTGTCGGAGGAGCAGTGGCTCGCTCGGCTCTGAGATGAACAGCGGTGCGACAGCACAGAGACAGTGAGGATGGGGGCAGGGGAGGTGTTCCGATCCAGAGTGCTCACGGTGCGGGTCGTGGGAGGAGGGTGCTCTGCCCCGTGACGTGCTCAGGCAGTGTCCCGTAGCCGAGGGTGGGTGTGCAGAGCCGCGCTGGGTCAACAGCAGCACGCTGCTGTGCCACACAGCTCTGGGGGCCCCGAAGTCGGAGAACACGGTGTTCCTGGCAGGGTGCTTGTCTCCGAGCGCCGTGAGGATGTGTCCTGTTCCTGCCTGCTGCCTGCTGCTGCCTGCCTGGGACTCGATGCCGCTCCTTGCCATGAGGAAGCATCTCTGCTCCGCCTTCCTCTTCTCACGCTGCCCTCCCTGGGTATGTGGCTAGCTGTCTCTGCATGTGCTGGTTGCATTGGGTGTTGACCCATGTCCTTCCGACGTGGTGGCCTCTGAGAAGGCCCTGTCCTTCCACGCATTCTCAGTGCTCAGGTTAGCCCTTCCAAGTGGGCATTTTCTGAGTGTACACTGGGGCTTACCATGGCCCACGGAGGCCTTGGGCTGGGGATGGAGTTGGCGTGGATGTGAGGCATGTGGCTGCAGAGCGGTGGGGTGCAGGCGACAGGAATGCAGGAAGCGGCCGGGGAAGCAGACCCCGAAGGATTGCCCAGGGAGAAATGGCAGTCTCTTCTGCTCGGTGCAGGAGGGCCTTCGTGGGTTCTGACAGAGGCGTGGCGGGCCCCAGTTGTCCCCGTTCCAAGGTCATGGACAGGCGAGGCAGAGGGCACCAGCCAAGGCCCTGAGAACGCTGCCCAGGTGATGGAGGCAGGCAGCGGATTGTGACCATGGAGGCTTGTGGAAAGGGGTGAGGTCCAGGGAAAGTTTTGAGGTAGCGCCACGTGCCGTGGGGACTGGAAGGAAAGGGAGGGTAGGTGGCCTGTAGGTGTGGAGCAGCAGCCCCAGGTAGATGGTGACGCCACTTAGAGAGGTGGGAGAAGGTCATCTTGGGGTGGCCCCAGATAGGGTCCCAAGTCTGGGCTGTGACCTGGCCAGGTAAGGCTGGGACTGAGAAGGAGCGGCCTGTGCGTGGGGAGGCAGAGCGGACAGCAGGAAGCCCGCCCGGGAGCCTGGTCAGGAGAGTGGAGCGCCACGTCGGGTCTGCAGAACTGATGGCGGTCGACCGTGGGTGCCTGTTGGGACCTGTTGGTTGGCGAGGAGCAAGAGGAGTTAGCGGGAGCGCATGGCCACCCCGTGCACGGCTGCCTGCTGTGCCACGGCTCAGAGAAGGCCGCCTGGGCTCAGAGAAGCACCTGTCTTGCAAGGAGGAGTGCGCAGGCTTCGTTCTCTGGAAGCAGAGTTTCCTGGCGGGAGTCAGAAGCAGCAATGCAGAGGGCGCACAGCGGCGGCACCTGGGCCTGCAGTGAGCTGCAGAGGCAGGATTTGGGCATCCCGGCTGGGCCCGAGAAGCCAGGGGAAGGGGGGTGGTGGGGCAGCTAGCCCCGCAGGCCTGCCTGCAGGAAAGCGGTGAACCCCCGGTAGCTTCCCTCCTGACCACGCCTGGTCTTCTGAGGGCGGGCCCATTTCCTCAAAGCTCCAGGACACACTGGTAAGCTCTTGTCCTGGCTGAGACAAGGGGGGCCGGGCTCGAGCTGGAGTAGAGGCCCATGGCTCCCGGGTGGGGTGGAGCCCTGGGGAGGGGCTGCTGGCCCAGTGAAGAAGATGGCGATAATGAGAGTCGCCACCTTGGGGGCGTGTCTGATCAGAGGCCAGGTCCTGGCTGGGGGCTCTCAGTGCCTGCTCTGCGTCCCCCCAGCCACGTGCAGACTGAGGCTGCCAGCCATCTGGTGCTCGGGCGGAGGTTTGGGCTTCAGGCTTGTGGTTCCCTGTCTCTGAGGACTGTGCTGCTGCCTTTGCTGCACGGTACTGCCTTCCACTCAGGGCGAGCTGATGCCATGCCAAGGGACGCGTGGAAGCAGCAAGGCCCAAGGTGTGGGAGTGTGCAATCAGGGCCCAGGTGGCTGTGCTGTCACTCCTCAGCCCCGAGGGGCCTGAGAGCAGATCCTGCTGTGCAAGGCAAGGGTTGAACTGGGGGATCACAGGCCCGGGGCTGGCTCTAGGAGAGGCACGCTCACTGGGGGCCCCTGGTTCTCTTTCTCACTATTCGTTTTTCAGCTCCACCCGCGGGGCAGGTCCTTGAGGGCTGGTGGGGTCAGGAGGCCCAGCTGGTGGCAGCCATCGGAGATGTGTGCTGAGGTGGGCTCCCAAGGCTTTGTCCTCAGCAGCCCTGGGTGTGTGAGGGGGAGCCGAGCAGAACCAGGCCGACCTTGTGGTGGGGCAGAGGTGCCTGGGAGCTGAGAGCATTGGCGGGGAGTGGGGGGGCAGGAAGAGAAGCAGAACCCAGCATGGCACCTCTGTGGGGAGAGGCGATCACTGCAGTGCCTGCCCCTGTTGGCTGTGCAGCCCCAACCCTCACGCAACCAAGGGGCCTGCCTTCCTCTGCGGTTCCTTTGAGCTTGGTGTCCCCGGTTGTAGCGTTCACCACGTGCCATCATTCCTGGACCTTCCCTGTCCTGCCCTGTTCCCCAAGCTCCCCAGAGGCCCCATCTGGTGGAGCTGCGTGAGCCCAGGCTCTTGTTCCATACCTGCGTGGGGCGGGCCCTCCGTGAGTATGTGATGGCCAGTGGAAGGCGGCGAGGCGTGAGGTCAGTGCGGCTTCGTGACCAAGTCTCAGGGGAGACATGGAGGAACGATCAGGCTCCCTGGCCGCGAAAATGGCGGGCTGGCATGTGATTCTGTGTTTCCGCAGGCCCCCGGCCCCAGGGCCCTGGGAGCTGGCGAGAGATGAAGTTTGGCTGCCTCTCCTTCCGACAGCCTTATGCGGGCTTTGTGTTAAACGGAGTCAAGACTCTGGAGACACGGTGGCGCCCTCTGCTTAGCGGCCACCAGAACCATACCATCGCCGTCCACATTGCCCACCGCGACTGGGAAGACGTGGCCTGGTGGGAACTGCTGGTGGAAAGACTCGGGATGACTCCCGCCCAGATCCAGGCCTTGCTTCAGGAAGGAGAGAAGTTCGGCCGGGGAGTGGTAGCTGGTGAGTGAACAGGTACCTGAGCTTGGCAGTGGCTTTCCTGGGAACGAGTGGGTGTGTTTGTGCGGCTTGCTGAAGCAGCATGCCTTGGGACAGGTAGCAAGGGCCTCATTTTCCCATTGGAGTCTGACGGGCTGCCTTAGGTCCGTGACCGCATGTGGCACCTTTGTGTGCCTGTGCACGCAGGGGTGCGTGGGAGCAAGTGCAGTGCAGTCCAGAGCATCTCTGGTGCCCTCCAGGGGCAGGCTTCCTGCCGGGCCTCACGGGCCTGCCCCACCTCCAGGGCCATCAGTCTCCTGGGCGCGTCCCCTGGCCTCTCAGTGCGAGAGGTCTCCTCTCTTGCATCACCTGTCACCTATTACCTGCCACCTGCTTGGGCTTCCTGTTGCCTGTTGGCACCCTATCAGCAGTGGCGCTGGGACCCATGCTTCGCTTTCGCGCCCCCAATGAGGGCTGCCTTTTTTCGGGAGCCTTCTGTCTGCCTCGCCCAGGACTCCCGGAGCCCTTGTGAGAATGTCATGCGTGCTCAGTAACAAGGAGCCTGCTCACTGCGTGCCCCTCGCTGACGTCATCTTGGTCTGCAGCACTCCACACCTCCCACAGCCCCGTGGTTATGCAGGTAGGTCCTGTGCAGGGAAGGCAGCGTCAGTGGTGCGTCTCTCTCTCTCTCTCTGCACAGGGCTCGTTGACATCGGGGAGACTTGGCAGTGCCCCGAGGACTTGGCTCCTCAGGAGCTTGTGGAACTGGAAAGTCAGGCTGTCCTGACCAACCTCCAGCAGAAGTACCTGACAGCCATCTCCAACCCCAGGTGGCTGCTGCGGCCCATCCCTTGGCCAGGAGGGAAGGATGTGTTCCAGGTGGACCTCCCGGAGCACCTCATCCCTCCGGGACACAAGGCGTGATGAGCGTGCAGCCCTCAAGAGAATGTTGCTGACGGGGCAGCTCAGCAGCCTGGTGCGGGTTCCTAGCAGTAAGATCAGGTGAGAGCTGCCACTGCGGAAGACTGCTACGCCAGGTGCAGTTCGTATCCATGGACTGCTTTACTCCCATGCAACAGAGGGGCTGGGCTTATCTGAGCTCACTGACCTTGTGTCAATGGTAAGGAAATGTCTTGGCTCGATGATGATTGGGGTCCTGCTGATTTCTGCACCGTTCAAATAAACGCGCTGAAGATGACTGTGCAGCGTTTGCAGCTCCTTCGTGTGTGTTTCCCCTCTCTTTGTTCAGCACGTGTCTGAACGGCATCCAGGGCTTGTTGTCGGGTGTCTGGGAGCAGGCACTGAACGTGTGCCTGAGAGTGCCCAGCCATTAGGCTAAGTCAGACACAGAGCAGCTGTCCCCCTGGGGCGCTCTCGCCCTGCTCTGAACGTGATCTGGCATCGGGAAGCTCGTGTGTCACGCGTGTCACATGACCAGCTGCTGGCTGCTCAAGTGAAGGGTCCTAAATACAGATACGCTAGAGGGAGGTTCACGGTCTGTCTTTCTTTTTGAAGATTTACTCATTTTTATTGGAAAGGTAGATTTGCAGAGAGGAGGAGAGACGAGATCTGTTCGCTGGTTCACTCCCCGAGTGGCTGCAGTGGCCGAGCAGAGCTGAGCCAGTCTGAACCCAGAAGCCAGGAGCCTCCCCCGGGTCTCCCACGCAGGTGCAGGGTCTCAAGGCTTTGGACCACCCTCAATTGCCTTCCCAGGCCACAGGCAGGGAACTGGATGGGAATTGGAGCTGCCAGGACGTGAACTGGCGCCCAAATGAGATTCCGGCACATGCAAGGAGAAGATTTAGCCACAAGTCTACCACGTTGGGCCCCGAAGTTCACTTTCAATAGTGATGGAGTGGTATTCCTTTTATAGCAAGACTCTTTTCTCCAGTGTCTCCTTAGCAATGTTTCTAAGGGGTTGTTCTCTGTGAGGGCTCTGCCCCCTTCCCTGGGCACTGAATGGACTGGCAGATGGGACGGGGCGTTCCTCTTTGCAGGGGCCCTGGGTGCTGGATAGCGACGCTCGGAGATCTGAAGCTTGCTGGCAACACTGAGGGCCCCGAGCAGAGCATGTCATCGCGAGATCCATGAGTAGTGTGATACCCCCGATGCCAGAAGGCAGGCTCTTCTGTCTCCTGACCAACAGCAAGTCCCAGCGTACTGGATCTCTTTGGGCTTCTCTCAGCACTTCCTAGCAAGATCACTTTGCCAAGTATGTGGAAAGCCTGTTGCTTTAAAAGAGAGAAAGAGAGAGAACGACAGGGACCACAACACCATGTTAGAATTTTCTGCTTCCTCGGGCTCCTGCCAGTGAGTTGGTATACTCTAGTCCGTGGTTTGCAGTGACTTGACGTAAAGGTTCATGTGTTGGCAGTGGGGCTCCCTAGGGTGGCAGTACTAGGCGGTGGTGTCCCTTCTTCCGTCTGCTGGTCCACTCCCCAAATGGCTGTTAACAGCAGGCATACACCAGCCCGAAGCCAGGAGCTTCTTCCAGGTCTCCAACATGGGAGCAGAGGCCTAAGTTGGTAGCCTAACATGCTGTGCCACAGTGCCAGGCCCGATGGTGGACCTTTCATAGGTGAACCTAGGAGGAGGTCCTTAGATGCTGGGCAGGTGTCTCCCCACGCCCACCCTGTCCTCGAAGAGAGCGGTGGGACCCAGGCTCTGGCTTCCTGCTCTGCATCGTGACCTCATACCCCTGCAGGAGTCCCCACCGTGACAGCACAGCAGCTGCCGTCAGCCCTGCCCCCAGCCCGCCAAGGCCCAGAGGCCAGGGTCCCTCGCTCCTGAGCTTCCAGCCTGCAAAACCGAGTACACTAAGCCCCTCTATGAAGTCAGCTTGCGTCGGGTATCTCAGTGTAGGAAGGAGAAAGGATTTCATACCGTGTGAGCAGTTAGCAAGAACACAGACCGGGATTCTCATTCATATTGCTTTTTTGAATCTCGTGAATATTTATATTTTATTAGGACTGCAGACAGGTGGTTGTTGGGAAATGATGTGTATTAATCACTATTAAATTGATCACTATGAAGCACTGCTGTGTGAGTTCACAGAGGTGGCTCGTCCCTGACCCGCTCGCAGATGACACGCCTACCTTCAGTGGAGCCCTCCTGCTCTGGGGGCTCACTGGAAGTCTTGGTGTTGAGGGCAGCTACAAGGGTGGAGTAACAGGTGTTGTACAAAGAAATCATGGACTCGTAATCGGGATAGGTTGCGGGGCCGCGGGGTGCTTCTGCAGCGCCTTGCGTCCCGGTGGGACACAGAGGTGCTTGCATGACATTGGGAGTGGTGTCCTCCCCACTTGGGCCACCTGGCTCCTGAGAGGTGTAGATTCTCAGGGGTCGCACTGTGAGATTACTCATGGACCAGATGCCGGAGAACATGAGTGAATGGCCGGCACTGGGTCTCTGGACACTGGTCACTTCCTCCTGGGCCCTCCTTTCCGCTTCTTCGTCCTCTCTGTTGGGGTGCATGCGGGGGGAGCGCCTGGTAGCTAGCTCCTTCCTCTTCTTCGCACTTGATCCGCACAAGGCTTGCCGGCTGAAGCGCCGCTGGCCCCCCTTTCTTTGGATATTCATGAGAAGGGCAGGTTTGTCTCTCTGGAAATTGACATTGCAGTATATCTGAAACAAAATGGAAGATGTTAGTCCTGCGGGGATAAAATTTGTTTCTGGGAAGTGTTGGGATGCCAGGCAGCACCAGCGCACTGAAGGCAAACAGTTGCTAGGTTAAGGCAGTCGTGCATCTACTGGACATTGGCTGGCCTCTGGGAGTCTGCCCCGCCTGCGGAGCCTCTCCCAGCGCACTGTGAGTTCCCGGCAGAATCGACCTACTTTCACGTTTAGACTTTGAGCTTTCAGTAAATAAGGTCTCACATCTAAAGAAGCAGTGCTAGGGAACTAAACACATACAGTGTTGCGTTGACCTGGAGCTCTACAAGGACGTCTGAGTGACAGGATGTGGGAAAGAGCAATGCTTTCTACCTTACCAGCATGCCCCTGTTCTCTGGACCGTGAGCAGCGTTCCTTGGGCGTACTTTGCTGAAGCCGTAGAGGTTCAGCTGACGAATGAAGGCCTTCAGGCTGTCGGTTTGAAAAATCCTGTCTTCCTCTTGCTGAAGAAGGACTTCCCTCTGGAAAAGGTCATCCTCGATGACCACGGCGTCCCCGTCTTTGTTCCAGTGCACAGACTCAAATGCTGGATCCTCTACCACAATCCACAGCTTCCTGGGGAAGGACAGCCCCCAAGGGATGCTGCTGCCTTCCATGTTGATTGCTAGTTGTTCTTGGGAGCCTGACACCTGCAGGCTGGGAGCGGGAGCCTGGCTCATGGCCTCCTCGCCGACCTGGACCAAAGGCTACCTTGAATCCGCGTTTGGAACAAGTGAAGAATCAGACAGCACCTCGATAAGTGGCCCTTCGTTGGCAGAGGGTGTCAGCTTGTCCTCAGACTCTTCTAGATTGCCACCACTAGCCGTGGAGCTAAGTCAGCATTGGGGACATTGTGCACCCAAAGCTGTTGTCACTCCGCTGGCGAGTCGAAAATGGCTTTGGTCTCAAGTGTGCTGCCCGGAATATTCTGTCCACGAGGTTCTAAAGTGTTTGTGGTCGGCCAAGCAGCCGCTGAAGCCCTCATCTTTGTCTTGTGATGTCACAGGGAGGTGCAGAGCCAGGATGCTGAGGGTGGGTGGAGGAAGGGGATAGGTGGATGGGTGCTTGACTTCCCTCTTTTCTCAAAATGTGCAGACTTACAGTTTCAGTTCCCACAAAAGCCTCCTGTCTGGTGACAGGTACATCCTTTTGCCAGTTCTGGCCCTGGATGAGTGGAGAGACTGTGATCCATCCCCGTGGCGCTTGCACTCTTGAAGATGGCGGAGGCTCTCACTGACCTCTCTGATTTGCTCAGCAGCCGGTGCTCAGTTCACTCTGATTTTGGCATCACCAAGACTGTCTGAGTCAGATGGGCCCCTGGGTGACTGACTGCCCACGGTGGTCCCTGCCAGGCGGGCTGGTCGAGACCTTCTTGACACCTCCCCCCACCACGTTCTGTTTGGTGCTTTCAAGCTACTGATGGATGGATCTGCTCAAGTTGCCAACTCCCTACACCTGCCCTGCTTTCTCTTGGGTATCCTCTACCTCACCAGCTTTCTGTTGGTAACTTGCAAGTACTGATGGATAGACCAGCTCGGATTGGCAAGCTCTCTCCCACTGCCAGTTTCTGCTAGGTCGCCTTCCACCCGCCTCCCGCCAGATTTCTGCTTTGCTGTCTTCCGACTGCTGATGGGCTAGATCTGCTCAGACGGGCCCATATGCAGATACGTGTTTTGTTGCCACTCATGCAAGTTGTCGCAGAGGAAGGCTGCACCCGGCCACATTGGGAACACTCTTGGTGCGCCTCAGAGGCGCTCATAATGTCACTCACAGCTATGTTGTGTGGCTCAGTGACCACATCCTCAGCTGTGCCTGGCGTGTGACAGTAAACTCATCTGGCCCTCAGATGTCTGTTTGCAGATCACAGAAAGATAGCCTTTAGTTCCCGTTTCTTCCCCGTAGATGCTATTCTCACTGCCAGGACATGCCCCTCTTTGAGGCCTGCTCTGCACAGACACTGGGGGCAAGTTCCTGCTTGTTTAGGCATGATGATAGCAATCCATGTAGCAAATGTATTTGTGTTTGGAAATCACACTCTGTGTGTGAGGGGAGGTGTGGAAGAAGGTCATTTTCCACCATAGATGATTCGACACAATGGGTTTTGATGGCAGGTAACATTTAGCGATGGTACGCAGCTGAGTCCTGGGGCTGGCGCACGCTAATCCTCCACCTGTGGTGCTGACCTCTCCTATGGGCACCTGTCTACTGGCTGATCCACTTCTGCTCCAGCTCCCTGCCGATGGCCTGGGAAAGCAGCAGAGGGTGGCTCAAGGCCTTTGCACCTGCACCCCCATGGAGATCTGGAAGAAGCTCCTAGCTGCCAGCTTAGGACCAGCCTAGCTCTGGCCATGGCGGCCATTTGGGGAGTGAACCAACAGATGGTGTTATCTCTCGGTTACTCCTCACCTTCTCGCTCTCAGTAATTCAAGCAAAATAAATAAGTCGTTGAAAACAAAAGACAAAGAAAACCTTGTGCCCAGCTCGGAAGTCTAGTGGCTAAAGCGCTTG